TCATTTTTAACTAACCCAGTTAGCGAATATTCGATGCTGCCTATGGCTATTTACCATCACTTCTTCGGTCAATTGCATTTTGTACTGATGCAGGTTGTTATATTTGCCATGTGGACGTTTTCGAATGGCAGAATTCTCCAAACTTTAGTTTATTACAACAACTTTTTTGGCCTTACATTTCGACGACGATAACTTATCAAATTTCTCCACCAAACGACGCATAGTCGACGGAACAAAATGATTATGATGACCGCGTATAACACAGAACATAGCTCGAACTAAGCTTTAATTTTGATAGTAAAGTTTAATGATTTGCACTATAACTTTCCATAATGATTTCTCCAACGTTAACTACTGTAAACTCCAAATGTGACAACTAGCTTCATCAACGTAGCCGCTATACACTGTTAAATCAGCGTCTAAGCTATTAATAAAATTCAATGTGAAAAATATTCAATATTATACAGTCATTGATATGTCATAAAACATAAAACAAATAAATTTAAACCTTCCAATTAACTGAAGATGAATTCAATCGTAGATTAGAATTTAGCTAAGTAATGATGAGAAAAATTGCACCTGACGAGAATTTCATTAACAAGCTGTTTTACAGACGAAATAATCTTTACTGTATGTGAGAATGCAGATTGGCATAATGTAAGGTTGAAATCCTTACCGAATGCATTAAAACCGTACTGAAAGATCACGAAGATAAAGGTATGGTCGGGTATAGTGTGGGTACTCAGCTAATTGGGCCTTTATCGAAGGAAATGTTACTAATTAGTATGAAATGAAATTGTACCTGCACAGTTCGTCGTTATCTAGATGAGGTATTTCCTGGACAATCGGTAGACGTGGCATTGGTATTGAATGGGTAATGAAAAATCGATTATTATTGGGGATATTTCAAAAGTTGAATTTATAAAATGAATCCTGGAAGTTTTGCAGAGTTATGACAACGAATTGTTGAGAAATCAGACAATAGACTATAAAATTAACAACAGTGATGCTGACGACTGGGTACTAGAAGAAATGAGAAAGCTAAGAAATGGAAAATCCCCAGGCCCGGATAATATAACTAATTGCTAAATTATTGAAAGAACAATAAGATAGGAGAACTGCAAGAAGTATCAGAACTATCAACGTGAATTAAAACCCAGAGACTGAGGTGGCTTGGATAAATGTGGAGAATGCCGGTAGAGAGTGTGGCGTGCAGGTTATTCACTCAAACACCAGAGGACCGTCGAGCAAGAGCAAGGCCAAGTAGCCCATGAATGGACAATGTTAGGGAGGATTTGAGCGCTCTGCAGGCGCAGAGCTGGGGCAATTTAGCCCAAAATTAAGATGATGGAGATGTGTTGTGGAAGCGGCCAAGGTTCACAATGGGCTGTAGTGGATAGAATAACAGACAAAGTATGTAAAGTGAACTATAGTTACACTATGAGTGGACAAAAAATTAAAATTTTATACTATGCATATGATGTGGTCCTACTAGCTGGTACTGAAAACGACCTACAGTAGTTGACACAGACATTTAACATTCAAGTTGAAGAAAGAAATATGCAAAACTCGATAAGCAAGACCAATACGATGACGATAGGAAGTGAACCCCGTAAATACAAAATAGTAATTAACAACAAGATCATCGAATACGTATCGGAATTTAATTATATTGGAGCCACTATTGCGGCCTACAAAAATAGTCAACAAAGCAACCAGAATCGTTGGTGCAATAAATATACAACCTGAAGAAACAACTATTTGTCGACTAAAAAAAAATTAAGAATATTTAAGGTATGTGTGAAGCCTGTGATGACATATGCGCGAAAATCAAAAATGTATTATGTACCTAGAAATATTACCAACATTCAGTTAATTATTATAAATTATATTTAGGTCACTTCAGTTAATTTTAGAGATGATTTCATGTCAAAAATAAAACTGAAACTAGAAACTTCCGGGTTATGCCGTGCGTTTATTAAAACGTGTATACGATGCCACTTTTACTTCTGATTTATGACCCAATTCGTATTTCTCTACTTATTCGAATGAAAGGCTAATAATAACGTTCGTAAAATTTCATTTGCTTGCGTGTTTATTCTTTATTGATGTGTAAGGTGTACCTACTGTGCAGTTAACTGAAGATTGCTTGGTAAAAGTTCCTTATTTCTCATGAAATTCGTTCATACTCCGGCTTATGAATGTAATAAGTACACACTTTATTTTCATACCCTACCTAATTAAGATGCAACCAAATCAATTCCAATCCTTATTTAGTATTTACATATTTAGTATGTAAATTAAATTAAGTTTTGGAATTATTTTATAACGAGTACAACTATTTTTATTAAATCTGCAAACTGTAATACTTTCATCTTATATTGAAACAACATTTCTAATTTGTTTCATGAAGTCAAGTGAAGAAAATTGAAGCGATCGGTTGGTAATTAACTTAGTGATTGAAGTGTTTCGTTGTTAATAGAAGTCTTTGGATTGGTTTAAATATTTATTTCAATGTCTACCTTTTTAAAATAATGAAAATAAGTGTAAAAAACTAAAAATTTATAATCTCGCGGGAATACAAAGAATATTAAATAAGTTTTAAGGTATTTATTACGTTAAAAAGTAGAAAAAAGCAATTACAAGCTCTTTAGAAAAAACATTGCTTTTTAGCAATTATTTTTCAAATTATCTGTAAAAAATGTGATTGAAATGTTTTCATTGGTGGTTACAAGAACGTGTCCTAACCTTAATCAAAAGGTTCATATCGGTAAACAATCTGAAAGACTGCGATATGTAAGTAATAAATTCGAAGTTATTGTATTGCGATTAAGATAATTGGTTGGAATACTCTGAGTAGATTGTTAATGTAATATCAAGCAGCCTATGTTCTTGTAATTTGAGGTACTATCTCTCGCAAGTTCTTGATACGTGTAAAATCACTGCGTATATCTTAGTATGGACTGACGTACCAACCCAACCCATATTAATTTCCCTTTAATATTTCGGGTTTTATTATCTCAGTCTCTAAATTACGTAGTCTTTACACACATAGCCCCGCTAACTACATGGTATCTGGACGCGACACAGTTTTCGGAAATTACAGAATCTTTAAAGACCATAGACTCTCTCGACGGTGTACAGTCTTTGTACACTGTAAATTTTCTGGAACCCTGTGCACAAATATTGTACAGAAGCAAGTACAGTGTTTCTGGATTCTACGGAATGAAGCTTTGTACTGCAAAATGAATTTCTGGACGCTGCAGAGGCTTCTAATACAACATGAGATAACGGACAAATCAAAAGTCTCTAGATACATATTTTGAAATATCTAAAAACATTTTTTGAGTACCTACTATAGCTTGCATTTCTGAATATTCCTAACTCTATAGGGCATTGGCACTCTGAACAGTGTCTAGTCACTACAGAATCTCTACCCTTTGCACAATCATTGTAGATTGCAAATTTGTCTTGTAACCAGAGTAGCAACACTGTACAGATATTGTGCAGTATTCCTGGACTCTTCTAAGTGAATTTGGACTGAATACAGTGAATTTCTGAATACAAAAGTTTCTGACTATGGTTGGTATATATGGTAGCTATCTAGATACTGAAAACTCTTTGCAAATCACTCTGTCTATGAATTGTGCCAGGTTTTTGTATAGGGAAGGTTCACCACTACCATGTATAAAGACGTTGCAATATTCTTGGACATTGCTGAGCGAGTCTTTGAATACAGTAAAGTGGTTATTTGGGGTGCATACTGAATTTCTTAGCTGAGCTTGTGCATTCAACACAACTTTGGACATTGCATTGTCTCGAAAAACTGCGTAAGTTTTCTTACAGACGAAACTAAAAGTAAGGGGCTATGGAAAAAGTAAGACAAAAATAATTTTTTTTAAAGGATTACGTAGTATGACAAAGAAGCGTGATTTAATTTTGTACTTCTGACGATTTTGTTATGACGTTCACTTTCTGTTGTAACGCTTTTAAATATTGTGCAATTATAGTTATACATATGAGTATAAAGACTTCTTGTTGATATGAATCTGCGAACTGTGGCTAAACATGCTGCTTCAGTGGTTAAGTCACTGATGTCTAAAATTCAGTTCTTCAGTTAGTTTTGTTACATTTTCTAACAGTCTCTATTTTTATAATAAGTGTTTAGCTTGAGTTATTTTATATATAAGTATTAAATATCTATAAAAATTAATCTGAGTTATAAATAAAAATATTAAAAAAGATATATTAAGCTATGCATAAATCATTAAATAAATGGTGGAGGCGACGGTAAAAATCTAAGACATTAAAATGACGTACCGATAAAATTTAAAGTATCTATTTGAAAATAATGGAGGCAACGGCGACGATAAATTATTCAAACTACTATCTAAAACCCTTTTTTAAAATCTTTTTTAATTTCAGTAAAACCCCAAAAAAAACTTCTTTCCTTGAATGAATTAAACTTAATAACGTCAATAGCTTAATCCAATATTTTCAAAGTTTAAGATCCGGGGCGATAGAAACGAGACAGCCCATCGCTTACCCATCATTTGACGTCGAGCAGGAAATGAGATGCCGTAAAACCGGAAGCAGAGGGCGATAAAGGTACAGCCGTAGCTCTCCCTTCGCACTATTTTTCCTTTATTAACTCCGCGCCCCCCACACCGACCGCGTTCGGTATTACTTTTTATTTTCTTCTTCGGTTCCTTTCAAAGTTCTGGATCTCTCTTTTCGGCACCGTTTTCAAAGACTCTAAGTAGTAGAGCGAAAGTTGGGTTAATGGAGAAGATAAAACCAAAAATCCGTCTGGTTTGGTGGCGTCTGCAGCGGTGTGTTTGATTGGAAATTCGACAAGTTTAAGCCTGGTGGCTGTTTGATGAGGTTTTTAAGGTGATTGATTTATTGACGTAAAAGAGAGAGTTAATTTTAAAATTAGATTACTTTTTTTGCAGATGAAATCGATCAAACTAAAGAAGTATAAATAATAAGTTACTTACCTCATAATATTGAAGGATTTTTGGCCCAGCTTGTGCAATATATAAAGTCGAAGCCGAATCAAATTCTAATTGATTGGAGAGTCTTCTATATTCATAACTACTATGTTCTTGACAATTTAAGTACAAAGTAACATTATCTGTTTTTACTTTAAACCCAATTCTCGCCCAATTGTTAATGAACGTTGGAACGGTAAAATTAGCCATGAAATTGGTGGTCATTTGGTTAGGTTCCGTGTAAACTAGAGATAAAGTGGTTAAAGGTCCTTCAACCTTTAAACGAACACCCAAATGGACAATCGTATCCAACGAGTTGACAACAGCGAAAATGTAACCGCCGTTTGGTGACTTCGGTTTCGCCCGAATCAAGATGGAAAACTCCGGGAAGAGTTTGTCCGGAAGAATCGATCTACGGGGAATTTTCACGTCTGTCCCAGTTCGGAAACCGAACGCTGGAAAACCGTCTGAACCTTCTGTGTCTACATATTGAGTTTTTGAATCGACGAATGGAATCTTCACAGCTGTTAACAAGTCGTATTCTTGAACTGAAATAGAAAAAGATTAATTAATAATTTGGGATTGTAAATATTGTTTGATATAATTTCAACAATTTCATAGAAAGATATTAAGATTATACATAGTAAAATAGCTATGCTTTTAAGGGATGTTATTATCTAAATTGCAATTAACAAGTTGCGTGCGCTCAGCAACGTGCAGCATTTATGCTATTTCATCATAAAATATTCATGTAGTAAATGGGTTCTCATGAATAAGAGATCCTAGAGTAGCATACGAAACGAGTATTATTATACTTATTAGCGTTGACAAGTGTCCCGGACCGTTTTTGTGTAATTAATAAAAACGTTGTCCGTTAAAAGCAACTATCTTTGTAAATAAGAGAAATAACGTTGTTGGAATTGCGAAATAAATGGGGGTTCCTTCCGATACGGTTCTGTGTAAACATTTCGTTTTCAACTTTTATCTTTCCAATTGAATCGTTATCTTGGAAGTCAATAAATACAAAGCGGGCTAAAGCTATTTATTGCGCTTTCCACCTTTGGTACTCTCTATCACTGTGAAATGGAGCATTCCAACGGGAAATAAAAATTTTCTTTTTCGGTTTGTGGCATTTCAATTTGGGTATTTCATTTAATAAATCAATATATTATCGGAAATATGTATGTACGGCGACTGTTATTAAATAAACTAAAATAAAAGGAATTTAATCATTGTATTTGTTTTAAAATATGAGATTTATTAAATTTATTAACGAATTATATTCAATAGTAGCTTATTATAAAACAATCTCTTATTATTTTAAAATATGATGACGTTTTTAATAAAAGTCAAAATCGAATAAACTAGGACAAAAGTACAATTTGTAACGGTCGAGCAGGAAATAAATAAATTTCAACGAAAACACAAGCTGGTTCACATAAATAATCATAACCCGAATTAATAATTTTATGGCTTAAAACTGTAAAACTACCGAAAGGCGATTAAGCGCAACAGCGAATTGAGCGTAAATATCAATTACACGTCGTTTTTCAAAAGGGTCTCTCTTTTACCAGTCCACAATTTGATTTTCTACCTGTAATCCTCGAATTATACGTAAAATTAATACGTATAACGAATTTTCATTTCACCACCAACAATAAATTAACTACTCATGACAGAATATTATGTGTTACAGCCAAATTAAAATACTTGCTAAATTGACACAAACAGTCAACCGCAATAATAATACGTATCAATTTTCGGGAATACCAGGAAAATTAAATTATCAACTAACCAATTTGGAGAGATTTTGTAATTTATTTGATTATAATCATTGCTATTCATTGTCGAAGTAAATGAATAATATACTCGACATGTTACTAATTGACATACAAAAACTTTGTATACCTCTTCATAATAATTAAATTAATATTTTGGGTGTTATATGTAATTATAATACAGATATTTTATTTAAAATATGTTTTCCAATATTTTCTTCGCTTATTTAATTAATTCGTATTTTAACAAACATCTCTTTTATTGTGATAACTAATTTTCTTTATCCTTTATATTATTCTTACTGTAGTATACTTCCCAACATCTTGTAGAAATGGCATTCTGTTACTTTCAAAGGTCCTGGATTTTATATCTTTTTGGTAATGCCTGTTAGTACGTGATGTAGAGCTAACTTTTCCACAAAATTTATATTAAATTCTGAATATGATTCAAAATTGGCAAGATCTGGCAATGTATAGAAGCTATCTAACCTTTATCCAGCAAAGAATCTAGAAAGGTGAAAAATTGTGGGCTTATTTTTGTATTTGTCACCTATTAGTCAACCTTTATCAATATTGATTAGATAAAATTTTATGACGAAACGAGATCATTTCTAACCAAGACGACCTTTATATAACATGAGCATATTATATAACATATAAAATTAAAGTGACCGAAAATTCTGACAGCCATGCTATTAAAGGTGAATTTATATACACACGCTACAGTCAAAGAAAATGATTTATAAATGATATTGTCAGTATGAAAATTGAAGTGAACAACAACTATAATACCTACATATAAAATGGAAATGAATAAAATACACAAAAAAAGTTAAAAATAAAACCATTAACGTTAAAATACACAATAAAACAAAAATATAATAAATACTAGATACCAAACTGAAAACGAAGTTAACGTCCATATAGAACCAAAAAGGAAATAAATAAAAGGATAAATGTTTTAAATCCGTAAAAATAGGTTTATTTGTTCATTTATAAGATTTAATTTTTGAAATTTCATAATATTCATGTGAATCTAATTTATGTCTCTTTCTGCAATAGCGAAAAAGTTTAATATTGTTATAGACTAATTTTATATTCATTTAGCCCGCTGTTTAATTTTCATAACTTTGTCCTATATACATTGCAATAACTTTTTATACATTGTACTTAACATTATGCGGATATCTCAAACAATAATGAACATTCAAATTGAAACACAACTGAAATATAAGAATAAATAAAACGGTTTCTCATTTATAGTTATATTCTATAATAAGTAGGTTAGGCATTAATTGGTCTAATTCTTCATATGAAGTAAGCGGAATTATCTTTCCACAAATCGTTTACTCGTTTCCACAACTTTTCAATGGGTTTATGTCCAGGCTTTGAAGTGGTATTACCATTACATGAAGACAATTATACTGGGGGGACAATATTAATGCCATAATGTGAATGTGTCATAATTTTTGCAGATGACGTCGAGAGAAGTAGTTGACAACAAGTTATGGGGCAATATACACAATTCGGCATCATTGCGCCGAATTTTTGTGAAAGACTGCAGATTTTTCAATAAAAAGTAAAAAGCTGGTGACCGTTAAGTAAGGTTAACTTGTTCCTATATCCATAAAGCAAAGAAGTGAGAACATGAGACACACTTGCAGGATAGATAACATCATGGATTGGGTATTTTACAGAAAGAAGAAATGGACCGAATGACAGAAGAACGAATTGTGAAAATAACACGGGACAAATCACTATCAGGACGAGGAAGTATTGAAAGACCTAGAAAAAGATAGAGCGACAATCTTCCAAACGATTAAGGGGCAAAAAAGTGCAGAAAAATAGGCTTATGCCTAAATACAGAAGGAAGAAGAAGAAATTCATAAAGACCAACACAGCCTGGTGAGCGCCACAGAGAGATGTTAAACAATTATTTTGTTGCTACAGGTTGCTGAATTCAACCTCGAGCCTTTTCCTTCCAACAAGACGGAGCAACCACACACTCCAATTGAATCCCCAATTTTCGTGTCATATGATGTGCCGTTTTGATGGTTTGAATTTTGAGTGATCACATCGATAGATCTGATAGCGACAGACTTCTCTTTTTAGGGCTTTTTGAAAGTCAAGATTGAAGCGCGTTCAAATAAACTTTTTGTGAAAACAGAGCACTATTTTTATGACATTGCTTTGTAAGAGCCAGAAACGTATTTTGTAAATCTTATGTTTTGGATACTAATCTTGGTACAAATCATTCGTCACTGCCAAAGATAGTGTACACTTGCTTCTTGGAAGACTGGCTTTTAAAATCTTAAATATAATAAACTGTAAAGATCCTAATACAGCAGATGAAAACGACCCCTTCACTATCACAGATCCACTTTTCCTCCACATATGGTTTATTATCTGATCCAAGAATATTATATACATATATTTCGATCAGTAAACAAAAACGCTATCCAAAACAATTTTTTTTTATGTTTGTACTAAAATAACTGATCTGATTTGATAATTTTTTTTAAAACCTGATAGTTGATAATGTCATGCATTGTAGATTGGCTTCTATCGCCAAGTTTAGTAGTTTAGAAATTTGTTTAGATTAGAAACTCAAAACAAGGTTGTACAAAATTCAATTGGTCTTCGACAGCAGGAAACTACGAACACCTCATTTTTGTTGTGCAGAATCCCGAATTCTAGTAATTTTAGTAATAAGTGGTTGAAGTAGTGAAACAGTAGGCTCGTTTGTACACCATGAGTTGAGGGTTTATGTCAGATACAAATTTGTTTTTGAATTTGAAAGGCTGCCAACCCAGGATTGATTAATAAAACATAAATTAAAGATACCAGTTACTCAAAAAACGATAATGAACTATACTATTTAAGATCTTGTAAATGAATGACCCTACTCTAATAATGTCATTGTGCGATTAATCTGTTCAAGAAGTAACTATTGCAGGTAACTTTGTTCAGTTTAAGCATAGAATGATTTAATAGTTGAACTAAATTAGGTTCAGTTTAACCCCGGAGGGTAATTAGGGCAACAGAATTCCCCTTCGGTCGAACATTACGCAAATTGAATAAACAAAACTACCCTTCGGGGTGTCGTCAGCATTTTAAACCTATCCAAATTTGTCCTTCCGCCCTTTTTCCTTTATCATCTTAAGAAGGGTCCAATTTTGCTAATTTAGGTTTGTTTTGAAAGAAAAAGAAAAGAGAAACTTAGATCAAATTCTTTGTCTTCAAATTGGAAATTATTTGAAGTACAAAAGTGTGATGTGAAATTATGCTCAAAATTAAATTTACGTTTTCCTTTCGGTCGACCGAGGCTTATGACGAAAACTTTTAAAATTTTGTAGTATTGCGGGGAAATTGCGCGCTCTGGTACCGTTGCAGTCGGAGAAGTGCTCGGAAGCACCTGCTTCCAAAGTTTAACGTATTTATCGTTTAGTAGAGGGCAACAACTTTGTCGCCACTGAAAATAAAATTCTCACCGAGATTAAATTAATTTACATAACATAAAAAAAAATCATTAAGAACTCAAAAGCAAGGTTGATTTCAAATTTTCACATTTATTTTAAAGGTACGATCAAATAAACGAACAGATGATTCATTTTTGTAGATTTATGTAATGTATTCAAGTAATCAAACCCCAATTTTACGGGCCAAAACACATTGAAATCGTCGCCCCCTTTTCACATTTACATAATCGAATACCGAAACCACCATCTCGTTGTGAAGATCTATAACCGGTTATAGAAAGGAAATTCAAC